TTTAATAATGGCAAATATGATGTTTTCACAAATGCCTTCGTCGAAATCATGCATACTTGTAAAAATAAAGAATATATTGAAGTTTTAAAGATAGTCAAAATTTCTGGCAAATTAATTACCAATCGAGCGGAGCAATGTTGGATATAGTCAAATTCGGTAATCCAGCAAAAATGCATTCGGCTTTAAGACCATAATCTTTGTCCGACGTCTTTGTTTTTGCCATATCTTTTCTAAGAGCATTTCGATAGTAAACACCTTGTAAATCGATCGGATTTTTACATTGTCCGAGTTTTCCAAAAATTGAAATAATTCTTCCATTGATAATCCGTCCACATCTCCCAATGATCGTAAAGCCGAAGATATCATTCCATGATTGCTTCAGATTGATATCCGTATTATTTTCTTCTGATCCTTTTTTCGTTTGGTATATTTATCATATGATTTTGTAGTTCTTTGATTGTTGTTTGTTTTTTTTCTCCATTATTAGTTTGTTTTGTTTCTTTGTATTCTTTAGGATGAATATTATGTTGTCCATAGTAAACTGTTGGTTTTATTATTTTTTCCTGTCGTACAGAGCCATTTCTTTGATTAATGATTAAAAAAAAATTATGAGGTAGGGGGAGGAGAATAATAACTGAAAAAATTGATTTTGTCTATGTATTGTTACATTTTGTGTGTAACAGTAAAAATAAACAAATTTTTCATCATACTTAACCTGTACAATATTTTCCGGTATGATTGATGATTTTTGGTTTGCATTCGATTAACTTCCAAAATTGGTTTGGTATAATTCTGGTCATGACAGCCCTCAGAATGGAATATGATTGAACTGTCACGACTTTTTATTTGAACATTGTTGTTCAACCAGTCGAATAAGGTTACATTTTGAATGTAACATCAAAGTTGGTATTGTAACTCTTGTTTAAAATTTCTAATTCTAATTAAATAAAATAAGCAAATAAAAAAATAATTATACACATAATGATTATGACAGATATAAAACCAATAACAATAAATTTCGTTTGATGATAACTAAATATATTTCCAGCTATTCTTTCGATCATTTCGTGTTCTGTTTGAACAGAACAAAGAATCTAGCCTTTCTAAATTTATGGAATCATCAAAATTTTGAAATTTTATATTGTTGATTAGTTGGTTTATATCTGTTTGTATGAATGAGGATGTTTGTATGTTTATTCTCAAAAATTTGGTGGTCATGTTGTCAGATGGTCAGATCTTGATCTTTTTCAATCTGATAAACTTTATTTTTACATTGTTGTTGAACGCCGAATAAGGTTACATTTTGAATGTAAACAGTAAAAATAAACAAATTTTTCATCGTGCTTAATCTGGACAATGTTTTCCGGTATTATCAAATGAGTTTCGGCATACATTTTGTTATTTTCCAAATTGGTTTGGAATGAAAATCATGGCAGTTTTCTGAATGATATAATAATTGGGCTGTCATGATCTTCAACCGGATTGTAAGCGATATTTTTTATGCAGTTGGTTTCCAGATTAAGCAATGAAAACTGTTGACCAAGTAAAATTCTGAAAAACATAAATTTTCTACGTTATTTGGATCGGGAATTAATATTGTAAACGGGTCGGCCCCGAAATATTTGATATTTTGGGTCGACCTCATATATGCGTTAATTTTGAAAAATAGGGTGGGTGAAATAATAGAAGGTATGGGAATGTATTGACAAAAATCAATATGCCAATCATCAGTTAGGACAAAGGGAAATATTGGGAAAGAGTTGATGAAACGATGGAGGAATAATTTGATTATTCGAAAACATCATTAATCAAGAACTCGTTATTCTGGAATTGTGAATGCAAAACAGACATGATTTTGTTGACCTGTATCGCATGTTCCATTCGTTCGAATTCTTGTTTTACATTTTTTTAAATTTTTCGACCATTTCTTAATGGATTTTATTGTCGAATCTCTGCAGTTCAATCATATCTTTAATCTGATCCGATTGACCATGAAAAATATTCATGGTTTTTGGCATACATTTTGTTATTTTCCAAATTGGTTTTGGTATAATTCTGGTCATGACAGCCCTCAGAATGGAATATGATTGGACTGTCACGTTCATCTACCGGACTGAAACTAATGTCTTTCCGACATTTTCT